CTCCCAACCCAAAGTTCAACCCATGTGCATGCAAGCATCTGATTGTGGCCAGTGGGAGATGGCTAAATCCAACAGCTGTCTGAACTTGCCAAAGTAAACCACCTATGCTAACCCACTGCCCAGTCTCCATTGGCAGCAAAGACTGGCCTGGTGACCAACTTGACAAGCTCTAGAAATGCCAGCACAATGTTGCAGGAAGTATATGGATATTGTTGGTTCTTGCAAGAAGGCCCGTACAAATTCAGGATAATTTTATCATCACCAAATCTTTCAATCCTGTGATGACCATAGCAAAACTACAAGCTGCTCCAGCCTTCTGCCTCAGGAGCTAACTCTGGTCTTTCAGATGCAGAATAAGGTTGCAGAGTAAAGTACAAACATCTCCTTATGGCAACACCAAACAGGACCCAGTAACCCGGACAACTGTTTACCTCTACCCTGGAGCACAAACGAAATGACACAGCCCCTGGCTGAAACGAGAGGCAGTGTGGCTCAGGGATTATGTGAGCAGACTCTGGAGTTAGGGTCTCAGCACCACGCAGTTCAGACAAGCAGCCTAACCACTCCATGCCTTGGCTTCCATGGCCTGGAAATGCGAGTGATCACTTTCTCTCACGGGGCTGTTGGGAGGCACAGACCCCAAACAACACCTGTAAAGCACTTAGTCCAGGACCGGCCCTAGCAAGCAATTAGAAGCTGTTTGCCTTTATTTTAAGTCACCCCTCCAGCTAATGGGAAACACAAGGGCAGGACCCCACCTGATGTCTTCTCTGTTAGAGCCCAATGAACAGCTAGGAGAGACCTTTGCCCCCATACTAAACAAAGGAAGGGGGTGTGTGAAGGGAAAAGGAGCCTCGGCTTCCGTTCATATCCCCCTGAAGGCACAGCAGACATGAGGATGACCTGACAGGTGTGGGGGGGGGGGCGGGGAGGGGTCAGGGGGTCCACCACGCTGTCCACCCCTGCCCTTGAAGAGGACACCACCTGCCTGGGGCTGAATGACCAAGGCCCCTCCACGGCCTCAGGCAGCTATTCTTATCAGGTGCTGGAACCTTTGCGGATTTGGTTTCTTAGCAGAGCTCGCCTCACCTGTCCTGCCCCCGCCCTTCTCCCCAAGTTCCCGAGTCCCCAGCCTCCGTCCTCAGGACTCCGCCAAGGCTGCAGGAAGTGGTCACCCAGGGACAGCCCGAGGGTGGCCTCTGCCTTCCTGGCGTCAGGAGACTCGGACGCCTGGCCCTTTCCCAGCCCGGCCTCGTCTAGGGTCGGAGGAGCCCAGAGCTGCGCTCCTAGTTAGGTGAGAGGTCGGATTCCGCCGACAAATCCCAAAGAGAGGGATGGGGAAGGAGGTACCAGCCCTGAAAGCGAAAAGCCGGAGCGTCGGAGAGGGAAGTCCTGAAAAGCCGCCAGGAAGTCCCGAGGAACGCAGGGCTGGAATGGGGGCGCGGCGACCCCTGCCCTGACCCTCTCCTCCCACCCAATCCGGCGTCGTCAACCCCTGCTTGGGGTCGGGGGCTTTGGTGTCCGCGGAGGCTGGGAGCCGTTCCGGAACCGGACACTTGGGGAGCACCCCGACGTGGACCCGGCCCCGCACGTCCTGAGAAAGACGGAGGGTGCATTCCCCCCCTTCACGTCCCCTGTCCCCTGTACCTGCGGCGGCGGCGTGTCTGGCGGGACCTAGCCAGGCGGGGCGTGTTCCGACCACTTAAAAGTTACAAAGTGAAACTCCGGCGCCTCCTGCACATGCGCAGAGCTGCGTCCACAGCTTGCCCAATTTGGAGCCTTTGCCCGCGCCGGCGCCAGCCTGGACGCAGCCGACTGCGCCTTCCGCGGTGGCCCTCGGCGGTCCTCTGCCCTGGCCTGGCCTCCTGATCGTCGCTTAGCCCCGCAGGTCCTCCCGGAGATCTGCAAGCCCCGGACCGGCCATCTCAAGTCCAGAGGCCGAGAAGGGATCCGTTGGGGCGCACCCTCTTCCGTCCCCCTGCACGCCTGGACGCCTCTGGGAGACCTGGGCCAAGCACAGGGTGGTCGCAGCGCAGGGAGAGCATCTGCAAACGTTGGTCCCTGTGGTGCTTTGAATTTCCCCGAAGAGCTCTTAGACCCGCCCCGGGAGGGTGGAGGTGGCGGGGTGGTAGCATGGGGAGCTCAACAGGATTCAGCCTGCACCTCGGCTCCGGGCAGTCGGGGACCGCGCGGAGCGCCCTGCGAGAGGCCGCGGCTCCCCCGCCGCTGTAGAAGGCCGGACTGTGAAAGCCCGGAGGGTCTTCGTTCGGGCAAAAATGTGGGGGCGGGTCGCAGCATTTCCAACGCTCCCTAGGGCCAAGTCCATTACTGCCAGAGCCAGGGCCGCCAAGGGCACCTACTCCAGCCCAGCTCCGAGAGCGCGGCATGCCTCCCGGTCCGGAGCCAGATGTTTCCAGGAAGCCGGTGGCCTCTACAACTGGACCGCAAGCTCGCAAGAGCAGGGCCGGCCCGCCGCGCCTGGGACTGCTGGGCGCTGCGCAGGAAGCGAGGCTGGGTTCGGGGAGGACCGCGCGCCCTGGGAATCAAGGAGCAAACCACCCCATCCGCAGGCCCCTGTTTCCCTATCTGTGAAACGAGTGGTTGGACCAAAGCTTCCTCTCAGGTCCTTTCTAGCACCAAACCTCTCTGAGTTCTGAGCAGTCCTCACCCCACATGCATGGCTTTGCGGGTTCTCCGACCTCTTCCATTTCTGAGCTTTCATCTTTTTCTGTAACGGTATAAAAATATCCTTCTTATGGCCGGGCGCCGTGGCTCATGACTGTAATACCAGCACTTTGGGAGGCCGAGGCGGGCGGATCACCTGAGGTCGGGAGTTTGAGACCAGCCTGACCAGCGTGGAGAAACCCCGTCTCTACTAAAAATACAAAATTAGCCAGGCGTGGTGGCACATGCCTGTAATCCCAGCTACTAGGGAGGCTGAGGCAGGAGAATCGCTTGAACCTGGGAGGCGGAGGTACAGTGACCCGAGATCGCGCCATTGAACTCCAGCCTGGGCAACAAGAGTGAAACTCCGTCTCCAAAAAAAAAATCCCTCATTACCTCCTTGTCCCTGATTCTAGCGCCAGTCTGTGGCTGTCCAGGGGTCGGGTGGGGAGGGTCTCTTCCTGCCTCTCTCAGTTCTTTTCTGTCCCATCTGGCTTCCCCTTCTCTCCCCAAACCTCTATCCACTAGTTATTTCCCAGGGTTTTTCCTCTGTGCCCACCCCCACCCAGTATCATCTCTGCCCTTGTCCCTCCAAAGCTGGGCCTGGCCATCCCCCCTCCCCGCTCTCTTACCTCCACATCTGACCATCTGCAGAGTCCTGGGTGTGGCCCCTGGACTCCTCGTTGGCTCCTGAGACTGTCCCTGTCCAATCTTCTTTCTACTCCCCACTCCCGCACCTGCCTGTCCTCCTCCCTTCCCTGCCTCAATGAATGGTGCCCCCACATGTCTGGTCTGTGGGGGCACCATTCATTGGGGCAGGGTCCAGGCAAGTGCAAGGTTCCGGTCTTGGTAATTAGAATGCTGGAGCCACTGACAAAGATTTCAGAGAAAGAAAGGATTTCTAAATTTGTTCTTGAGTAGGTTAAGGTTATTTCAAAATCAAGAGAAGGCCTTGATGGATCGGAATGTGAATTGAGATAGCCACAACCTTTGTTATGTCAGTTGTGTGAAGTGTTTGTAAAATCTGTTTTATTTTTTAATTTTTAATTAATTAATTAATTTACTTATTGAGACAGAGTCTCGCTCTGTCACTCAGGCTGTAGTGCAGTGGTGTGATCTCGGCTCACTGCAACCTCTACTTCCTGGCTTCAAGTGATTCTCCTGCCTCAGCCTCCTGAGTAGCTGGGATTACAGGCATGTGCCACCACACCCGGCTAATTTTGTACTTTTAGTAGAGACGGGGTTTCTCCATGTTGGTCAGGCTGGTCTCAAACTCTCAACCTCAGGTGATCCTCAGGATTACAAACGTGAGCCACCACGCCCAGTTGCACAGCTCTTATAGCTATAAATTCCAGATCCTCTGGAGCTTTATTTTCTTCTCTAAATATAGATGATTATTTTGATCACAGGTTTTATTATGATGCAAGTAGGATTGAAATAAAGCCCAATCACTATGCCCAGGAAAGTCAAAGTGTCAAGAACAGAAAGATTTCTGTATCAATTCTGAGAGGACAGGCACCACAGATACTAGAATCAGAATGCATTTTACTTTTATTTTATTTTATTTTATTTTTGAGACAGAATCTTGCTCTGTTGCCCAGGCTGGAGTACAGTGGTGTGATCTCAGCTCACTGCAACTTCCGCCTCCTGGGTTTAAGTGATTCTCATGCCTCAACTTCCCGAGCAGCTGGAATTACAAGCGCACACCACCATGCCCAGCTAATTTTTGTATTTTTAATAGAAACGCAGTCTCGCCATGTTGGCCAGGCTGGTCTTGAACTCCTGGCCTCAAGTGATCCGCCCACCTCGGCCTCCCAAAGTGCTTCGATTACAGGAGTGAGCCATGGTGCTGGCCCTGAAAGCATTTTAATCCTAGTTTCCTGTATTACTTAACCAAGATCTTTACCAAGTCTTGGCCAACTCAAGCTCTTTCCTTAGTTTACAATTAGGTTGACCTAATCTCTATAGAACTTTCTGCTCCTTCCTCAATTTGCAGAGCTTTGATTAAAGTGGAAAATTACAGCCGGGTGCAGTAGCTCATGCCTATAATCCCAGCACTTTGGGAGGCTGAGGCTACCGAATGACTTGAGGTCAGGAGTTCCAGACAAGTGTGGGCAACATGGCAAAACCCCATCTCTACTAAAAATACAAAAAATTAGCCTTGGCACATGCCTGTAATCCCAGTTATTCAAGATGCTGAGGAATGAGAATCGCTTGAACCTGGAAGGCGGAGGCTGCAGTGAGTTGAGATTCGGCCACTGCACTCCAGCCTGGGTGACAGAGCAAGACTCCGTCTCAAAAATAATTAATTAAAATAAAATAGAAAATTACAAAAATACAGAATAAAATGTGTTTTATTCATGTTTTACAAAGTCTTTATTATCTGAGTTGGGGTTGCACAACCCACACTTAACCCCAGGTCTTAGGTCCATAGTGGTGGAGGAGTTTAGCCCAGATCCAGTGACAGGACAAGTAAACAATGACACATTGGGGTTTCTGCCCTCAGGTTACAGTATCTCCACATGTAAGTGCTTAGAATATAGTGCAGCGAATAATAAGAATAGAGAAAACTGAGCAAGGGCTCCCCAGTGGCCAAGGACTCTCATTCCTGAGAAGCACAAACTAGGTGAGGTAACTTGTCAAGGGAAGCAAATTCAGGGCTCACTAGAGAGCACAGAGCATTTGTCCATCAGCAATTCAGTCATCACCAGCTCTCCTGGTACCCTAGAACACTTCAGAAACACACACAAGTCAAGTCCCTCGGTGGCTACACCAGGCGCCTATGGCTGGAGTCCCCTTGGCACGAGCGCTCCATCTGAGGCACAGCTGCACTTCTGCACCCTCATGTTGGGCAGGCTGACCACCTGGGGCCTGGTCCTGCCTCCCTCCTTGATGCTGACGATCATGGGCAGCGAGGCAGTCTCCGAGGCGATGCACTGTCGTGGCCCCAGAAACGGCCACTTGAAGGCCAGGGCCTCCGGGGGCTGCTGGCAGGTGCCCACACACTCATAAGCCAGGAAGCCCGGGGGCTCCAGCACCCAGTTATCGGCCCACTTCATCCCCTGCAGGTCAATGTACATCTCCTGGCGGCAGCAACGGGTGCCCTCGGTCACTGGTGCTTCAGGGTCACAGTCGCCCTGAGCTCTGTGTGGGCAAAGAGAGCAGGGTCAGCAGTCAGCTGGGAAGGCTGAGGTCAGAGGGCATCTGGGATGGAGATTTATGATCCATCTCTCAACTTCAAAAAGCTGGATGTTTGTGATATAGGATAGACAGCTACAAATAACTTGAAAATTAATAACTGATATTTACTGAGGACCAGAGGAAGGATTGTATACGTTGTCTCATTCATTCCCAGAGCACTCTGAAAAGTTGTCCATTTCAAAACAAATGTAATTGCCTCTCTGTCTCTTTATTCGGCTCACCAGTTTAACCCTCAGCACCTACCCGTAGTCTCCGAGGTCCAGGGTGTGCAGCTCCAGCTGGGGCTCCCCAAGCCCGGCCGGCGCCCCCTGCGAGGCAAAGCGGACCAGCTTGTGGGCGCCGGACGCCAGTGGGCCCGGATGCTCCCTCTGCACCGACACCTGTAGCAGCAGCGGCTGCCGGGGCCGGCTCAGCTGCTGCCAGAAGTTCACGGCCTCAGTCACGTCGAAGACCTTCCAGCCGCTCTCGTGGACGGACACCAGCCTGAGACACGACACGGAGACCCAGCGCCGCGTGAGGGCGGGGACTGGGACGGGCCCCAAGGGCCCCGCCCCGCCCCCCGCCAGGCCGAGCAGCCCCCTCCCCCTGCCCTGCGCGCCCGCGCGACCCCCACCTGGAGTCGATGAGAGAAGTGCGGTTGGAGCCGTCGTCGCGGACGCGCAGCCACTCGACGGTCACCCGGGCCCGGGCGCTGCGCGGGGACAGCCGCCCGTGCCTGTGCAGCGTGGCCTTGGGGACCGGCTCCTGGAAGAGCCGCAGTACGGCCTGCACCAGCTCGCTGTTGGGCGGCAGCCGCTGCTCCATGCCGAACACCAGCAGGTGGGTGCTGGCCTCCGACGCCAGGAACCTGCCGGCCACCTCTGGGGACAAGAGCAGGGTCAGCAGGGCCTCCCTGGACTCCAGGGAAACTCTGAGGATGGCAGGGCCACTGAGCTGGCAGCCAGGCCAAGGAGACACCGGCCCCTGTTCTATCTCTGGGGCAAACCCAGTTTAAAAATCTCCCTTGGATTTGGGCCTTGTTTAGTAATCATCTCAATCCAGCATGCAGGGGCGCCTGTGGGACCCTGGGCTAGCAAGTTTGCCTCAACTGAGATGCTGGGAGCAGAATCCTCACCCAGGTGCCTGGCCTTGGGTCTAGCTCTGCGCACTGAGGAGCTAGGGAGGTGAGAGGCTGCACCCCTGACAGCCAGGTATAACCCAGGTAGTCTACTTAAGTGCAGTATTTTCCAGTTACCCAAACGTGCTTCTATTTACAATGACTCATTTTGATGTTCGCAATGCTGGAAGGCGGGCAAGACATAGTTATACCCCAGTTCCACATAAGCGAATGGTTGTGAGATGATTTTAAAGCAATATGCTCCAAGTAGAGCTCAGACCAGAGTGGCAGTATGAAAAACACACCCCGGGAGTCCTGACTGCCTCCACCACTGCATGCTGAGGCCCCGCCATCCTCACAGGCCCGGCCCCACCTCACTGCCCTTTAGACTGTGGCCCTCATCCAGCCTCCCACAGACCTCTGCAAGGCCAGGAGCTTTTGACGCCACCGGAGTGGACACATCTGACCTGCCCCATGGGACCAGGGGCAGCAGGGAGGGAGGGCCTCACCTCGGAAGCTCTGGCTGAACCTCTTGCCGCGGGAGCGGTCCCCGTGGCTGCGCTGCAGCAGGGTCACGTATTGGGCCCTCACGTGGGCAGGGATGACCAGCTCCTCCATGTCGGCCCTGTCCAGTACCGGCGCCTCGCTGAGCTGCAGCTGCTGCAGCAGGCTGCCCAGGAGCTGCTCCCCAGTCAGGGCCGTCCCGGGGCCGGCCAGGGGCAGCACCCAGAGTGCCCAGCAGAGCCACAGGGGTCGCATGGCACTGCCTGGAAGGAGCAGTGGACAGAATGGGAATGTCCCTCGAGATGGCTGAAGGAGGGTCTTAGGCAGCTGGATGTGCTGAGAGCCAAGCCTGGGCAGCTTTATAGCCTGGAGTGGAGGGAGGAGGTAAGGAGTGGAGAGGGAAGGAGGGAGGGAGGTCACACCCCTGGGACCTCCTGGGAGCTCACAGCCAGACAGGTCCCAGAGCTGGGAGGAGGGGCTGTCTAGATAGGACAAGTCTGTCTGGGCTGTGAACAGCTGGCTACGGCTGTCTGTACAATGGTCGTGAACCCCTAATGTGGGTTGAGGCCTGACCAGTTAAATTAAAAAGCTCATTTCCTAGAGTAGACATGGGGCTCTCATTCTCTGCAAGAGGCTCAGTTCCCCCAGTTGCTGGTAAGTGGACCTAGAGGCTTGTTCCTTGCTGCCACCAACCAATCGACAGGAACGAGAATGACTTGGGCAATGTAAGGGCCAATCTGGCCTGCAGGGATGAGCATCTGGGCCCCTGCTCAGAGGGTCCTGGGGCCTCATGAGATCCTGAGCTGGTGGTCCCCAGTTGTGAAACCAGACTTCCCACTGTTCTGGGGATACCTTCCTAGGCAAGGGAGCCTGGGAGCATTTAGTACCAATGGGGTTTTGTCCAATAAGGAAGGAGCCTCATCCTCTCCCTCATCCCTGCTGTTCACAGAATTAAAGTTTAGAGTTGAAAGGAATATCCAGGCTACCTTCTCCCCCAGTTTTTTTTTCCTTTTGAGGCAGAGTTTCATTCTTGTTGCCCAGGCTGGAGTGCAATGGCCGAGTCTCAGCTCATGGCAACCTCTCCCAATTTTTGAGCTGAAAAAAAACTGAGGCTCAGAGATGTGTCAACTTCCTGAAGCTCACAAAGTTAATGATCAATGTCCATCTAAAGTCAGGTCTTGCAATTCACAAAGTTCTTGGCACACTCAAATTATTTACAGCCTAGTTTTGACCTATGCCCTAAAGGGAGTCAGGTGGTCTCAATCCAGGTGATCAGGTCTAGGCTGGGGCAGGGGGACAATCCCCCAAGACAGAGGACCTCTATCCTGAATGTGGATTTGTGATCTGGTTAAAGAGTTTTGCTGGGGAAATAAAACAATTGGGTGATCAGCCAGGGGTAGGGCTACCAGATAAAATACAAGACACTATTTGGGACATAATTATACTAAAAAATTATTCATTGTCTACCTGACATTCAAATTTCACCAGAGTCCTATATTTTAATTTATTTTTTCTTTTTTCTTTTTTTTTTTTTTTTTGAAACGGAGTCTCGCTCTGTCGCCCAGGCTGGAGTGCAGTGGCCGGATCTCCGCTCACTGCAAGCTCCGCCTCCCGGGTTTATGCCATTCTCCTGCCTCAGCCTCCCGAGTAGCTGGGACTACAGGCGCCCGCCACCTCGCCCGGCTAGTTTTTTTTTTTTTTTAAGTAGAGCCGGGATTTCCCCATGTTAGCCAGGATGGTCTCAATCTGATGACCTCGTGATCCGCCCGTCTCGGCCTCCCAAAGTGCTCGGATTATAGGCTTGAGCCACCTCACCCTTATTTGTCACATCTGGCAACGCTAGCCAGAGGTCAGAAAAAGAAAGCGAATGTGGATTGGGAGACTGTTTACAATGGTCTGAAGTGTTGCCAGGAGGGAGGGCAGCCCCACCCTTTGTCATGCAGAAGAAGGAGCCTGGCTTCCCCAACCATCCCCACCTGGGTCTGCCCAGATTGGGCTTGAGATGGTAAACTGGCCCCAGAACCAGATCTTCTATGGGAGGAGAGCGGGGCAAGGGAATGAGTGATCCCTACCCTGACTCAGAGCACATTTGGACCTGGCCCTGGGCCCAGAACTAAGGGCACTGGAGGGCAGTGGGCTGGCCATGCTGGGGAGAGGGGGAGGGGGCCCAGGTAGGAAGGTAGATGAGGAGTGGGGCCCTGTGCCCTTGACCACGCTCCTGCCCCTGGTGGTCCAGGATGTGACCCCAACCAGAGGCCAGGTTGCCAAGTAAGGGCCGTGGGAAAACGTAGGGGTCAGAGGTCATCCTGGGGCCTCCATGGATGGACTCAGGCCTGGGCTCTGAGGTCAGCGAAGCTAACAGTCCAGGAGTGGAGTGGTTTCTAAGTCAGAGCCCAGCATCTGGGGTCTCCAGGGTGGCTTTTGCCCCCTTCCTGGGAAGGGGCAGATACTTCTGAGAGTGCTCAGGAAATGCCCCAAGGCCAGTCCAGGTGTCCTGGGCTGCCCCAACCCACACCATCAACCTCCCTGACCCCAGGCCTGGGGGCCCATGTGGCTCCTTGGTGGTTCCAGGCACCCCTTGTGTGGGCCCTTCCTGTTCTCCCAGAGTAGCTCAGACTCTGGCCTCATGGGGGGCCTTCCCTGGGGCTCCGTCTGGGCTGAGGAGCTGGGGGCCCATGTGGCTCCTTGGTGGTTCCAGGCACCCCCTGTGTGGGCCCTTCCTGTTCTCCCAGAGTAGCTCAGACTCTGGCCTCATGGGGGGCCTTCCCTGGGGCTCAGTCTGGGCTGAGGAGGGTGGGAAACAAACCAGGAATAAGGACCCATTTTAGTTCATCCAGCACCTTTGTATGGTGGGCACATCTTGCCAGACACCAACAACTCAAGCATGGCCTGGCAAGGACCTTCTGTCTCTTGGTGATGTTTGTTCAGTGTTCCAAGCTATGGACCCTGGGAACAGCCAACCTGGATGTTTAATTCCATTTAACTATGAAGAACATCAGGCCCCTGGCCCGTTACTTGGAACACAGTCTGTACAAGGAACAGAGGTCCATTGTTTTGAGGTAGGTGGAAGCTGCTAAGTAGAGGTTGCTAGATGGAAGTTGCAATGTGAAGGTTTTGGGCTGGGCGTGGTGGCTCACGCCTATAATCCCACCACTTTGGGAGGCCAAGGTGGGCAGATTACTTGAGGTCAAGAATTCGAGCCCAGCCTGGCCAACATAGCAAAACCTTGACTCTACTAAAAGTACAAAAATTACCTGGGCTTGGTGGAGGACACCTGTAGTCCCAGCTACTCGGGAGGCTGAGACAGGAGATGCGCTTGAACCTGGGAGGCAGAGGTTGCAGTGAGCTGCAATTGCACCACTGCACTCCAGCCTGGGTAACAGAGTGAGACTCTGTCTCAAAAAAACCCAACCAACCAACCAAACAAAAGTTGCAATGTAAAGATTTCTACATAACTTGCATGCTTTTCACAAATAGCAGCGGTTGCTCCTGTCCAACTGCCTCTCGGGGACTTCCCCCTGTGCGTAAGTCCCTTGAATAAAGCTCATGTCTCGCCTGCTGTCTCTGGGTCTTTTCTTTGGTCTCTCCAAGGTGGTACCCTCCCAGCTTGCCTGCTTGGGGGTCCAGCATGACACCCTTCTTGGCAAGAGCGAGTTCAAACCTTGCTATGTCACTCACATTTACTAGCTGTGTGGCCTCTGGCAGGTTTTCTTTTACTTTTTCAAATTAATTTTTTAAATTATTCTTTTTTATTTATTTTTTTTTTTTGAGAGGGAGTTCAGGCTGGAGTGCAATGGTGTGATCCTGGCTCACTGCAACCTCCGCCACCTGGGTTCAAGCGATTCTCCTGCCTCAGCCTCCTGAGTAGCTGGGATTACAGGCGCCTGCCACCATGCCTGACTAATTTTTTTGTATTTTTAGTAGAGACTGGGGTTTCACCGTGTTGGCCAGTCTGGTCCCAAACTCCTGGCCTCAAGTGATCTGCCCCCCTCGGCCTCCCAAAGTTCTGGGATTGCAAGCATGAGCCACCGCGCCTGGCCATATTTTTTAATTTTTTTTCTGAGACGGGGGTCTCACTATGTTGGCCAGGTTGGTCTTGAACTCTTGGCCTCAAGCCATTCTCCTGCCTTGGCTTCCCAAAGTGCTAGGATTACAAGTGTGAGCTACCACACCCAGCCACTGGCAGGTTTTCCACATTCTTCAATACGTTTCCACCTATAAAATGGGAGTAATGTATTTTTCTTGCAGTGTTTGTGTTAATCGAGATGTCTACAGAGTGCCTAGCACAGCCTCCTGGTACACACTAGGTGCTCAATAAATAGTAGGAGTCTCTCTTAATTTTTTAAATGTTTAAATTTTTTAAATTGTGTGTTAGCATTGTTTCTTTTTTTCCTTTTTCTCTTTTTTTTTTTTTTGTTTCCTTTTTCTTTTTTGTCCTCTGGTGTTGAAACTGAATTGTTTTGTTTTTGTTTGTAATTAATACAAATAGCACAACTTTCAAAAGATAGGAAAGGGAATATGGAATAATGTCAGTCTCTTTTTGTTCCTCATCTGCACATTTCTATTTTATCTTTATTTATTTATTTTTTGAGACAGGGTCTCACTTTGTTGTCCAGCCTGGAGTGCAGTGGTGCCATCTCAGCTCACTGCAGCCTCAACCTTCTGGGCTCAAGGGATCCTCCCGCCTCAGTCTCCTGAGTAACTGGAACCACAGATGTGCACCACCACACCCAGCTGAATTATTATTATTATTATTGTTGTTGTTGTTGTTATTTTGAGATAGAGTCTCACTGTGTTGCCTAGGCTGGAGTGCAGTGGCAGGATCTCAGCTCACTGCAACCTCCACCTCCTGGGTTTAAGAGATTCTCCTCCTCTGGGGTTCAAGAGATTCTGCTGTCTTAGCCTCCCAAGTAGCTGGGATTACAGGCACCCACCACCACGCCTGGCTAATTTTTGTATTTTTAGTAGAAATGGGGTTTCACCATGTTGGCCAGGCTGGTCTCGAACTCCTAACCTCAGGTGATCTGCCCATCTCAGTCCCACAAAGTGCTGGGATTACAGACATGAACCACCGTGCCCAGACAAAATTTTTTATACTTCATAGAGAGGAAGTCTTGCTGTGTTGCCCAGACTGGCCTCGAACTCCTGGGCACAAGTAATTCTCCTGTCTCAACCTCTGGAGAAACTGGGAACATAGGTGTGTGCCATCATGCTCAGCTTATATTTCTGCTTTTGAGAACTGTTTGTTCATATCTTGTGTCAATTTTCTATTGAGTTGTTTTTTCTTACTGATTTGTAGACACTCTTTATGTATCAGGGACATTAGCCTTTTCTCTGTTGTATGCATTGCAAATATTTCTCCCATGTATAATTTGTGTTTTATACTTTGTTTATGCTGTTCTTTAGTCATACTCTAATGTTTTTATTGAATTATTTTAAATTCACAGATTAGGAAGCATTGGCATTTTCTCATCTAAGAACACAGTTTGCCTTTCCTCATTGTTTGTCTTATGTCTTGTATATAACTTGTTAAAACATCTTATATATAATTTGCTAAATCATCTCCTGCGTAGTTTGCTTTTAATTTGTATTGAAGATGGGATTTTTTTTTATACCATCACACTGCTTAAGTGTTGTTTGTGTCATTAAAGACTTGATTTCTTTTTCTTTTTCTTTTTTTTTTTTTGAGACAGAGTCACTCTGTCACCCAAGCTGGAGTGTAGTGGCACGATCTCTGCTCACTGCCACCTCCACCTCCTAGGTTCAAGTGATTCTCCTGCCTCAGCCTCTGAGTAGCTGGGATTACAGGCACACACCACCACACCTGGCTGTTTTTTATTTTTAGTATTGACAGGGTTTCATGGTCTTGAACTCCTGACCTCAAGTGATCCACCAGCCTAGGCCTCCCAAAGTGCTGGGATTACAGGCATGAGTCACTGTGCCCAGCCTGAAGATTTGAAGCTATGGTACCAATTGGTACATAGAAATCTTCTTCAAATTTCTTACAAACAATAAGACATTCCAGTAAAC